TTCTCACCACCCTAAAAACCCTCTCTGCTCTGCCTTTTCATCCCCTCCCTGCCTCCCACCAACCCCTGGCAGCCACAATCTTTATTTCCTGTCTTCATTGTTTTGCCTTGTCCAGAATGCCACACAGTGGAACTACACAGTATGTAGCCTTTTCAGACTGGATTATTTCACTCAGTAACACACATTTAAAGTCCCTCTGAGTCTTTTCATGGCTTGATAGCTCATTTCTTCTTAGCACTGAACACTATTCCATTGTCTGGATGTAATACACTTATTTACAGGGAGCAGGATTAAGTTGTAACACATAGTATAGCAAAATATATCACCACGTCTCTAGCACTCTCTTTGTAGTTTTCTGTTTGGGAGGAGCTTGAAAATATCAACTTCGTTAGTTATCACAAATGCTTTAACTATGGCTAAGTAGCCAGAGATCTACTGCATATGGTACCTAGTTATACTTAAAAAGGTGCGCATCTGGGAGAGAATTCAGGGCCTGGTAGATCCTCTGACTTAATCTGAGTTAGATATCTCCTCAAAAGATGGCATGTTCTAAATATTTTACCTTGGTCTGAAAGAGACAAAGCTTTTCTTTGAAGGCCTCATGTCCTGTCTGCCAAGGTAGATAGTGGACTAAAGTAAAGGGTTTATGGCATATGCCTCTTGCATGTCAGAGCATGCTGTACATTATATTAAGCCGGGATAAAACTTCTGGAAAAGCAACTGAATCTAAATCTTTTTAATGAATAAATACAAAGATTTGTAGGGCAATTTGCAGTAGCCTTAAAGGAATCTGACATATAGTTGCCCTTAATAGGTGAGAAATAACTAATGACTCTTCTTTTAGTTATAAGTACCAAATAAAGATGCTCAGTTTTTAATGCCTTTTTTCCTCCAAATCTCAAACTAGAATTTTACCCTGTAGTCACCTACCTCCAAATATTTTTCATTTCAACTATTTACTTTATATACCTAAAGAAAAACAGAACTAAACATACATTCTCCAAAGTCTTTTGTTTGCCTTCTCCTTTCTGTACCTAATATCTCTGAAAGGCACCTTAATGGGAGTCAGAGTAGTTTATGGGAATAGTTTCAAACCTGGGGTATTTTTCTAACCACGAGTTTTGGAACTTGAATTTAAATGGAGATATTCTCAATTAGAACTCAATGTAAATCAGAACACTATGTATCATAACATAAGCAAGTATACTAGTTGCAAGTGTTGTACAAATGTTTTACAAGTACAAATATTGGTAAGTGATCCTATAACCCTGCTGGGGTTCTGCTGGGACAGGTCCCTCTGGCCAAAACTTCAAAGATCTATAAATATGTGCACTAATGCTTAAAATGTATGCATTGAAGTTGACTGCTGTAGCCACATTTTGGAGCAATAAAGCTCTTTAATCATGTGTGTATCTAGCTTAGCCATCCTTTAGGGAAGAATTCCAATTAAGGTGACTTGTAAGTTTCCAAGGTGCACTAATATAGTCACGTGATATGGTTTCAGGTTAGTGACATTCCACTAATGAATCTTATCTATCTGTTCCTAGAATAGTGTTTGTCAGGATAGGTACTCAATAAATGTATTTGAAAAACCAGCTGAGAAAATGAATAACACCTGTATTAAACCATACACTATACATCATTTTTATTAGTGAAAAATAAGTTACCAAACTATATTTGGACAATTTGGTAATATGTAAGACAAAGGCTAGCAAAACACAATTTTAAAAATAGCTCATGATAAAAAGATGGGTGGAGGACTTTAACAGACACTTCTCCGAAGACATTCAAATGGCCAACAGGCACATGAAAAGATGCTCCACATCACTAATCATTAGGGAAATGCAATTCAAAACCACAATGAGACATCACCTCACAGCAGGTAGGATGGCTACTATCCAAAAGAGAAGAAATAACAAATGTTGGCGAGGATGTGGAGGAATAGGAACCCTCCTCCTACACTGTTGGTGGGAATGTAAATTGGTGCAACCATTGTGGAAAGCATTATGGAGGTTCCTCAAAAAACAAAAAATAGAAATACCAGTTGACCCAGTAATTCCACTCCTAGGAATTTACCCAAAGAAAACAAGATCCCTGATTCAAACAGACATTTGCACCCCTATGTTTATCATGGCACTATTTACAATAACCAAGATATGGATACAACCTGAGTGTCCATCAACAGATGAACGGATAAAGACGTGGTACATATACACAATGGAATATTATTCAGCCATAAAAAGAAAAGAAATCCTATCATTTGCAACAACATGGATGGATCTAGAGGGTATTATGGTCAATGAAATAAGCCAGGCAGGCAAAGACAAATACCAAATGGTTTCACTTATTTGTGCAGTATAAAAACAAAGCAAAACAGAAGGAACAAAAGAGCAGTAGACTTGTAGACACTGAGAAGGGACTAGTGATTACTAAAGAGGAGGGGAGGGGAGGGAGAAGGGGCACAATAATTCACAATCACAATATAGGTTGGCCACAGGAACGGTAGTACAGCATGGAGAATACAGTTAATGATTCTGTAACATCTCACTACATTGATGGACAATGACCACACTGGAGGGGGTGAGGACTTATATAATATGGGTGAATGCTGAAACACTGTGCTGTATATTTGAAACCAACATAAGATTGTGTAGCAATGATACTTAAATAAAAAAAAAATATGCCAACAACAAAAAAGTAGGGAGGACAATTTAAAGAAAAAACTGGGGAAATGTTGGTAATTGTTGAAACTGGGTGATGGGTACATGGTGCTCATTAGATTATACTCCCTGCTGTTGTACATGTTAGAATTTTCCACAATAAAAAGTCCACTAAAAAAAAAAAGATCATGAAAGATACCCTATTTCAAAATAAGCTGCTTAAAATGTCAAGTAGTAGAAACAGTGGTCCTATAAAAACAAACACGAACTATGTCTAGATTTAGTTTATAAAACTTAACACCTAAATTTACCTGAAAATAAGAAACCCACATAAAAATACTAGTATCTCATTTATATTACTATAGGTATAATTATTATTTATTCTTTTAGACAAAAATGATTGTCATTTAATCTTTTTGTTCTTTTATATTTTTACTATTTCTGTTTCAACCCAATCTTCCTCGGGAGTTTGGCTACTCTTCAGATTCTTGTATTCAAAAATATTCTTAAAGAATCAGACAATTTGCCTACAGTAACAGCAGAGGTAGTGCTTTAGGGAGACCTGGTGGATGTAATGAAAGCATCATCCTTTTCTAACTGAAATAGGGTGCAAGGTATCAGCTAAATGGGAGGCAGGAGTTGAAAATGTTCCAAGTTTGACAAAAGAAGGTATAAAATAGTTGCCTAGAAAGTAGTACTCTGAATAACCTTGGAAAATGTTTCAGGATTTTAAGGAAGTCTGCATGACTGTTGTAGATGCTTAACATAATGATCATTATTGTTATAATGCTTGATAGGTGGTCTTTAGATTCTGCCACTAGATTCTATTCTTTCCTCTTGGATATTTCTCCATGGTGTTAATATTATCTCCTAAATATATGGCATATGCCTCTTGCATGGCTAAAAATACAGCTTGGGTCAGTTTCTTCATAATTCAAAAACCCCCAGTCGTTCTGAGCTAGTGTAACTCCTCAGGACAATATCCTTTAAGTTAAGTGTTATTTTACTTTTCTAGGTTTCTCCTTCATCACATACCTCCATTCAATTCTACATTTCAAGCTCTCAGACTATGGAAGTTCTTGAAATACAACATGCACTTTCATGCTTCTGTTTTTGTTCTGGTTAGTATTCTCTTTGCCTGGAATACTTTTCTTGCATCCTTATGTCATTTCAATTTATATTTATTCTTTTTGATTTAGCTCAACTGCTGCAGCATTCTTTTAAAAACTTCACAGTGCATCAGGCACTTGGGATTACAAAGCATGAAAACATAACCAGAAATATATAAAGGAATACCTGAACACCTGTTCAGCAGTTACAATGAATTAACTTCAGTTACATAACATTGACAAATCTAAGCAAGCTGCAAAAGATATGTGCAATTTCATAACCATAAATTGGTATTATTACCAATGATTGTTAAAACTAGGCAAAACAATATTATTTAATTAAAATAAAATATAACGATGCTTGGGAGAGTGGTTGGTTTCCTTGGGTAAGAGGGAACAGGATGAGATTGGGTGGAGCAAAGGATTTCGTTTACTGTGTTTCTTCGATCGGGTGCCACGTACAAAAGCATTAAATGTAGTTTGCTTCTGCCTTTTATCTTTCTAAAGTTTTCTATTTTTTGAAAGGATGTCTTAGGCTTGATTTCTTCCTGAAGACATCGCAAATCCGTCCCATAAGCAGTAATTTAAAATTACCTTCTATCTCCTGTGCTCCCCTTTGTTTCCCGCATTGTCCTTGGGCACACTTAGGACACCAGGTCCTAACGGTAGGGACTCCTGGGTATCAGCCGTAGGCAGATTAGACTGTAACCCTCCTCCCAGCGGATTCCCGACTGTTCCCTCCAGCCCTGCCGGGACTAACGAGGCCCTCCAAGAGCTTCAGCCTGCCCCTTTCACCCGACCCTAGAGTATCTCCTCTTAGATGCTGGATCGCTACCCCCTACCCTCTGGGAAACCCCAGTTCGTTCCCTAAGCAAAAACCACACAGTGCCTCCTGCAACGAACCCCAGAACGCCTCCCTTTAACAGACTCTGATCCACTGCCATCAGAGGCTGCCCTTCTTCCTTCTCACCTCCAGCCCAGCACCGCAATCCATCAGTCTCGCCCGTCGAGCCGCAGTTGAGCTCACCCCGCCATTACCTACGCAACGCTATTTCCGGCCTAACCTCTGCACTCATAAAACCACACTTCCCCTCGAAAAAGGACTGGTTCGGTGTTCTGCGCACGCGCGAAACCGCAGTCCGGTTACGCAATCTCGCTTCCCGAAGACTCTCGCATCAGTCTCGCGGTATTTTCTTCTTGCGCGGGAGTTATTTGAACGCTGGGACGTTAAGTACTTTCTGGGAGCTTCGCGGCCGGCTGTCGGCTGAGTCCAGGCGCCATGGAGGATGAAAAGCGGCTGCTGCCGATTAAAGAGGCCCTTCAGCTGGCGCAGCAGCCGCGCCGCAATCAGGAAAGCTGGTGGTGGCGCTGAGCCGCACCCACAGCGAGGTAAGCGCAGCCCCGGCCTCCGCCGCCCCTCGCCCTCTCGGCCCATCTGTGTGACCCCCGAGCGCTCTCTAGTAATTCTAACAGTATTTGTAAGAGATGGTGGAGAATTTTGAATTTTAGTATCATTGTACCTTATTTACGTGGAGGTCCGTACCGTATTTAATAATCATAGTAGTCTTGTGTTCCTTCAGGTTAGCAGTTCACTGATTTTTAACATAAATCTGCATTTCACCATATGGACTTCAAAACGTATGTAAATACGTATTTCTGTTTCTGCCCTGTAAGGATTTTATTAAAACACATTTCTTAGTTATTAACAAAATAAGCGCAAAGAAGTACATGTTTGTTAATAAACCGTTTTTCAGGTTGCTATATTTACTGCTTTTACAATTTTAAGAAATAGAAAACAATGGTAGATTTTTTTTTAATTGAAAAATTTTTCATTTCAACTCTTAAGACTTCACAGGATGTTGTCAGTCTTTCTTGCCCTCCCAACTGCTAAGTTTTTCACTTGCAGAATTGAACAAAGACAGATTTAAAGATGTTTCTACTTCTCTCGGTGATTTTTTTTTAAACTGTTTTTTGATTAGTAAATATGTATTTGACGTGGCTCAAGCTGAGTTAAAAGAAATGCAAGACTCAGTACCTACTTTCCATCCAGTACTCGTCCTCATAGTCTTCTACAGGTAACTGGTTTTAATTAGTTTCTTATTTATCCTTCAGTATTTTCTGTGCTGTTCTGCGTTTTACTTTTTTCACTTAACAATATATTCTGGATATGCCTCCTAATAACTATCGAATTAAACTTCTTCATTAAAAATTTTTTTTAGCTGTCACAGATTACATTTTGCGGATATACTCCAATTTATAGCCAATCCCCTGTAGATGGACCCTTGTGTTGTTTCCAGTCTTAGGATATTAGAAACAATGGTTCAATGAATCCATGTCATTTCCTACATTTGCAGGGGTAACTGTCAGATTCTCTGAAGCAAATTGCTGGATCAAAGAGGATGTGTATTTATAAATGTAAATGTAAATATTGACAGTTGCCCTCACAGACTGGTCCATTTTATACTCCCATTCAGAGTATGAGAGGTACTGCTTTTTTTTTTTAAGGGGATTGGGAACAACTGAAATATAATTGGGGGGATGTTTTTGATAGACAAGAAAATTTGTAAGTAAAGTCCTGCATGGTTTGGGAATATGAGTTAGAAAGATGAAAGATATATCAAAAATAAATTGCTGCATAACAGGAAAAGTAATTATAAAAGGCGGTGTTGAATTGAGACTAGTGGTTTTTTTTTTAACTAAACTGTACATTTAGACATTTTTCTAAATAGATTCAACAATGTGAAGAAGAATCAAAAGAATCCTTTGTGATGAAACTATGCTGCCTTGCTCCATGACAGAAAAAACTCAGAAAAAGAAGAGACATGGGTAGATGATTACTTAAGTGTATTTTCTATAATAATTTCTTCTGAATGGACAGGTAAAAGTTATTAGAGAGTAAAGATTTTAGTTTGAATAATTATTACTATTTTGGGAATTCTGAGGTTAGTCCTGGGGATAGACTTTCATCAGTGTAGTTTGTGAAGGATTTGTTTTGTATTTATGATTGTCAATAAAACTTTTATGAAACATTTGTTCACATCTTAAATACACCATCATGATCTGTAAATATGAACCTGCAGTGGAGTGAGAAATAGAATTTTTAGCAGTTTATTATTTCATTTAAACATAAGGAAGGTGAACAGTGACCTTTAAAGTTATTTTAACTATTTTACTTTTTTCTTGAAAGTGTTTTGGAAGTTTTGTCAATTTTTATTACAAAATTAATAAAATTAAAATTGAGTCACAGTCTGTGTATATCATTTAAAAATTTACTGGATTGAAAACCATAAGTGCTTGTATAATATAGAGAAAATAACAGGGGTCTCAATGTATATGTGATAAATTTATAGTATACATATGTACACCCACAGATACATAATTATGTCATTAAGTGACCTTATATATTTTTCTGTGTGATAAAATATTATGATTAAAAGTGATTTATTAGGGCTCTCTTGTCTCCTCCTGGCTTAAGCCAGGAGCTCTTTCCTTTCACTTTATTTCTAAATAAAAGCTTGTACCTTGCTCTCCTAAAAAAAAAAAGTGATTTATTAGATAATGCTAACTTCAATTTTAAATATTTAAGAACTAGTTTCAGGTAAATATATTTAAATGAGCATTGTACTTAGCAACAATGTTGAAAGACTTTTTTGACCCCAAAATTATCCCATTCTTGTTACCTGGCAAATATTTCAGATGTATGTATGTAGTATATATATGTAGTATACCTATTATAAAAATAACATAGCTTCTCTTTTTTTCATGAATTGTAGCTTCCCTGAGTTATTAAAGTCTAGAATTCTGAACTTGTAGGAGAGTCAAATGATTGTCATTATAATGCCACCTGGGAATAAGTTTATTTTTTTTTCTTTTACTTTTTTTTTTTGGACTGAGGCAAATAGCAATGGAGTTCAATTTTTAGTGTGCCAGATACTTAGTAAGTTCTTGGGAGATATGTCAGAAATGGCCAGATTAATAATGTTTTGTGTATAAAATTAATGAAGCCCTTTTTTTAAATTGAAGTATAGTTGATATACAATCTTTTTATTAGTTTCAAGTGTACAACCAATGGTTCAACAGTTACTCATATTATTAAATCCTCACCCCCAATAGTATAGTTACTATCTGTCAACACAGAAATATGTACATCTTTATCCATTCATCTATTGTGGACATTTAGGTGGCTTCCGTAACTTGGCTATTGTAAATAATGTAGTGATAAACATAAGGGTTCATGTATCTTTTTGAATCAGAGATTTTGTTTGGGTAGATTCCTAGAAGTGGAGTTACTGGGTCGTATGGTATTTCTGTTTTTACTTTTTTGAGGAACCCATACTGCTTTCCACAGTGGCTGCACTAATTGACATTCCCATCAACAATATAGGAGGGTTTTCATTTCTCCACATCTTCACCAACACTTGTTATTTCTTGTCTTTTGGATAGTGGCCATTCTAACTGGTATGAGGTGATAATTCACTGTGGTTCTGATTTGCATTTCTCTGATGATTAATGATGTGAAGAATCTTCATGTGTGTGCTGGCTATCTATATTTCTTCTTTGTAAAAATTTCTGTTCAGGTTCTCTTCTCATTTTTTAATTGGGTTATTTGTTTTTTGGTAGTGAGACATGAGTTCTTTATATGTTTTGGATATTAACTCCTTGAAGCCCTTCTTATTAGACTGATAGGTTAAATTCCAAATGTGAAAATACAAAAATCCTGGCTCTTGAGATTTAAGGCCTATGGGTAACAACTGCTCCATGGTTAAAGGTATGTGCCACTTCATAGTGTTTGTTTACTTTAAGTGCACAGTAGAATTTTTCTCAAATATATATAACAAGAGAGTACATAGATGCACTTAACACACGCACACCCCACTCAAAGATAAGTGATTTCCAACAACAATTCTCTGACAAGGATGGGTATACAGTAATTCAAGTACCCAGAGTTAGGGCAGACCTCCAGGTCAAGGGCTCAGCCCTACACTACTGCCCTCACTTCCAGACAGCAGCCACAAATATCCCCAAGCTACCTGCTTTTCTACCTAGCTGACTACAAATTTGGGAATACATGTGACCACCAACCCCACCCCCTGCCCATCAGGTGTGATAATTCTCTAGAAATAACTGATAGACCCGAGGAAAGTGCTGTTCTTACTATTACAATTTTATAATGCATCAGGTGTGATAATTCTCTAGAAATAACTGATAGCACTAAGTAAAGTGCTTTTCTTACTATTACAATTTTATAATGGATACAGCCAAATGGAAGAGATAAAAATAGGACAAAGTATGAGAAGCAGCCAGAGCAGAGCTACCATGGCCTCTCTGCACATTGGTGCATTCACCAACCCAGCAGCTTGAGTCTCGTTGTTACAAGAATTTTGAGGGGATTTCATTGAGTAGGCATGATTGATTTAACACTGGCTGTTTGAACTCAACCTCTAGTCCCTTTCCTCCGGAAACCAGGGGATGGACCTGAAGGTTCTAGTCTTGTAATCATCTGCTTGGTTTTTTTGGTGACTAGCTTCTATCCTGAAGCTGTCTAGGGTCTCTTGACTCCCCACTCCCGTGAGTCACCGCGTTAGCATAAACCCAGATGCGGTTGAAAGGGACTTGAACAACAAAAGACTACTCATATTACACAGATTTTAAGAGGTCTGTATCAGGAACCAAGGACAAAGATTAAATACATGTTTATTAAAACATAAAAGAATGATAAAATCAACATACATACCCCACCTCTAAGTTAAGAAATAGAATACTAAAGTGCCTTTTAAAGTCTCCTGTGTTCTTTCTGAACGTATTCCTCTTTCCTGTCCAGAGGAAACTGCTATCCTGAATTGTGTTACTCATTACCTTGCTTTTCTTTATTTTATTATAGTTCTAAAGCTACATAGATGTATCCCAAAATACACATTGTACCTGTCTTATTTTATTTTAATATAAATGAACTTATGTTGCATATATACTTTTGTAACTAATTCTTTTTACACTTAACACTGTTGGGTAAATAGAAGTTTTCAACCAGAATTTTTCATCTGGCCTTGATAGTGATATACGCAGAAGGGCCTTTTTGCACATCAGTGTGATGTTTACCACGGCAGAGCCTCTGGTTCCTCATAGGATTGCTAGTCTGGGGCGAGGGGTGGACTTGGCAGCCATTCTCTGCTCCCTCCTTTCCTGGTACTTAGTTGGTCAGGTGCCGGCCAGTCACCATGGACTTGCCCACAGAGTTCCTCCTGGAGGAAGGGGCAGGGGGCAGCTTGGCACACCCTGTGGCCAGAGGGTTGGAGCTTGGGGCGCAGCACCAAGCAAGGGGGCAGAGAACACTGGCTGGAGAGGAGAGAGACTGAGCTGTGAGAAAAAAAAACCTTTCACCAACCTCTCACCCGTGTTTTCCTTCAGCCTGTCCTGGATTTATAGAGAGCTTGCCCTAGGCCGGGAACTCCCACCACCTGAAGCCACACACTTTCCAGGAGTAGTCCACATTTATTTCATAGCTTTTAAGGAAAGTGAAGTTTCCATGGTCAGGATTCTCACTTTACCCTGATATACTTACCCACTGCACAAGTGCAATGCTCGCAGGCACAGGCTTGCACACGTGTTGGCAGTAAGCGATTATTGACTCTATAAAGAGCTCCTCCATCCAGTGCTCTGGGGCTGCAAGGCCGCAGAGACCTGGAGGCAGAGAACAGCTTGCTGCATGCAGAACTGCCCCAGAGGCAGACAGGATTCTAGCGCTTGCCCTGCCATCCTGAGAAAAAAGCTTGGTGTAAGACCTTTTACCCCAAGAACGTTCTGTCGTCATTTCTTGGTCTCACCCAATCCATAATGAACTTTGTCTGGGGCTGAAACCCTCAGGCAAGACAAGTTCATTCCTTTTCACTATAGTATCTTGTTTTAGAAGTACAGCACACTTAAATTATCCAGTGTATTAACTGTCATGAACTAAAGTCGGCATTCTCAAACATGCAAAAGTTTCTCTGGCTAATAATGCTTAGAGGTGGTGTTACAGACTGAATTGTTTTTCCCCCATACTGAAGCCCTAACTCCCAGTACCTCATAATGTATATGCAGATAGGAACTTCAAAGAGGTAATTAGCTTAAAATGAAACCTGAGGGGGGGCCCTAATCCAATCTGACTGGTATTCTTTTAAGAAAAGATTAGTACATAGAGACACAGGTATGTGCATGCAGAGAGGAAATGCCACGTGAGGACACTGCAAAAGGACATTTACAAGCCAGGGGGAGGGGCCTCAGAAGAAACTAAACCTGCTGACACTTTGATCTGGGAAATCTAGCCTCCAAAACTGACAAAAGTAAATTTGATGCTAAAGCCATCCAATCTATAGAATCTTTGTTACATTGACCCTATCAAACTAATACAATTAGAATTGCTATATGGTATGATTATGTACATGTTCAGCTTAATTGTAATGCTGATATTTTTTCTTAAGTAGTTGGATCAATTTGTAATCCTACTGGCTTTGAGAATTCTTACTCTACACTCTACATCCTTGTCAGATTTTACTTTTTCCAGTCTGGTGGGAGAGGAATCTTACTGTCATTTTAATTTCTTTTCTTGAAACTAAGAGTTGAATGTCTTTATGTTTCTTGTTTTTATATCTTTAAAATGCCTGTTATATCTTTGTCCCCTCTTCTTAGTGATGGATAGGAGTTATATTTAATGAAAGTAAAGATTTATTCTTTAATGGTCTGTCTTCTTTTCTATCTTTATTTAAGAAATTCTTCCCATCCCCTAAAGTAAATAAAAGATACCCTTATATTTTTTTCTGAATGTTTTACTTTTACATTTGAATCTTTAATCTGCCTGGAACTGATTTTTCATGTTTGGTGTGAGGTAGGTATATAATTTCATTTTCCTCTATATTAATAACAGTTCTCCCAGTACTGTTTATGGAATAGCCTTCTTAGCTGATCAACAGTGGCAGCTTTGTCATACATCAAATATGCATGTGCTGTGGTTCTCTTTCTGTTCTCTATTATTGTCTCCTTCTAGACCAGCATCAT